CTTCTGCCCGCCCTCCGGTGGACGGCTTGTGCCTGGCGGAGTGCCGGGGTGGGAGGTGCAGCCCTGGCCCTGCCCTCCGACCTGTAGATGTGTCTGCAATGGAGATGTTTCTGTAGGTGTTCGGAGAACATCACTCGCGCTCTGTGTGTTTTAAGGGCCGTTAATCGTCTGTTTCCACTTCCGTTTGATATGGTTCAAGAATATCTGGTTTGTACTCTGGTATTTTTTGCATAGCAGCAAAGGGGATGTCAGTTTAACAAACTAGCATTGCTAATAGATGATAACTGTTGTCGTAAGAAGTAATAACTTGAAATTAAATTTTATATTGTCTATGGTTGAACATTTTCTCTTTTTTTTTTTTTTTTTTTTTTTAAAGGGGCACATGGTCCTGCAGCTGTAACACAGGAAAATTGTAGCCTGAGTGAAGAACCAGAAGGAAACCTCTTGAGTTGCAGTACATGCAAAAGACCATATGAACAGTCTACAAATGAAGAACACATTGCAAAGCGTGTAAAACATGATGAGGTATACTCAGTGCCAACAGTCAGTGAAGATAAATTTTCGTATATGGGTAAGCCCTTTCATTATTCATGTAATTCTTTTGAGTTCTTTTTACTTTTTTTTTGTAAGTAACAAATGTAACTATTAGAAAGTTTTTAGGGAAGTTTGTGTACAGCCACTTCAGGCCCAGTATAATATTGTTTCTTTTAAAAATGGAAATATGAGCCATTATATATTTATTCATGTTGTCTTTCAGTGTTATATTAATTGACTTTAATCAGTACAAACATATCATCTGGTAATTTTTGTGGTGACTTTAGGTATGCCTAGAGTACAGATTGTTTAAATACAAATGTAGCTGGGAGGTCTTAAAGTTGGCTTGAAGAGGCAGGAACTGTAGTGAGAATATGGAAAAGGAGGGAGGGCTTGGAGCAACCTGGTCTAGTGAGGATGTGAAGCTGCAGTGGGTTTTCTGGTGTTCTGCATTACTGATTTAGATGGCTTCTGTAGTTGACATTTTGAAGGGCTTTCTGGGGATGGAAGTTTGGGGGAGGTTTCTGCTGGCAGAAATTTCTTTCTGCTTGAAGAGACTACGTCTTTAAAGGAGTGCTTGAACTTCTGCTTTTTGTAATTCTTTTGCAGGTGACTTTGCAGTTGTTTATACAGATGGTTGTTGCTCAGGTAATGGACGTAATAGAGCACGGGCTGGAATAGGTGTCTACTGGGGACCAGGCCACCCTTTGTAAGTAGTTGGGTAGATTCTGAATACTAATATTTTTTGATTTATGTGTAATTTACAGTATTATTCTCCTCTTGCATATGAAATCCTGCTATTGAGACTCTTAATGATAGAGCTATGAAACTAGTGAGTTACTGAGGGGAAAAGAGAAATCATCTTCTCTAGGAGGTAAGAATGTGGGAAAATCATTTGGAAATGATACTTTAGGGGCTGAAGTTATAATAGAAATGATGAAGAAATTTTTAAAATAGTTATAGGTGTTCACAGAAGACAACAAAAGAAACTGCATGTTGTTGACAGGTCCATCTATGCAGGGTGCACTATACAGATAGAAGTTAGAGGTAAATTCTCCATCTTCCTTTATAAAAACAAAATTATTGTATATATTTTTCTAATGTATGATTATTGTACACCACTTTGAATATTCTGGTTAACTACTCTATTCATTCCTTCGGCACAGAAATACGAGTGAAAGACTTCCTGGACGGCAGACTAATCAAAGAGCTGAAATACATGTAAGTATTAAATGTCCTAAAATGCTTCTGCATGTTAGACCACAGCAGCACACCTGTGACTGTTTCACCTCTGGCCCTCAGAAAGCAGCTATGGAGCTGAGAGGGAAGTATATTAAATATCAGGAACTATGACTTGAAATAAATGTTCCTCTTCAAGTTCTATTGATTGTTTTGGTTTTCAACAAGGAGTAATTCACCTTGAAGACTCCAAAGTATCATCAGGGCAAGCACAGATACTTAAAACAGCCTTGCATTGGGAAAGCCTAAATCTACATTGTATCCTTTGTGTTTTTAATGTGTACATCTCAGACTTCGGGGTGAGGGTTGCTGAGTAGCAGTTAAGAGGAGATTCAACTTCTTACTCTGATAGGATCAGAGGATTGTAATCCTTGGATAAATATAGCCAAGAATTCTAGGCTTTCAGGAGTAACTTCTGTTGTTTCTGAGGTAAACTTCTGTTGGCAACAGCAGGTTTAGTCTTCCCTTTTCACCTCATTTTAATGCTGGTACTGCTGCTGTCCTGTACTTTGTTTTTGGAGATAAACTAAAATGGGGAATTGATCTCCTTAGTACAGGAAGTTCATTTTAGTGAGTGACAAGCAGAGGTGGTGGTGTGCCAGGAGTCAGACTTGTTGCTAGAGAGCTTTTCATCTCAATAGCCAGACCCAGCCACTTCTCTCTTCCTGTACTTCAAAGCATGAAAAAAAAAGCAGCAACAACAAGCCCCACACCTTTTAGGGGTTCCAGACTGTTGGAACTGGTATGAATCTTTGCTTTCCAAAGTTATGGAGAAAAAACTTAATGTGCAGTTGATAAGACTCTGATAGCTAGGAAAGTCAAGAGAGATGGTTGTGTGGTTGAGCATCAGAATGTTCGTGGGTTATTTTTGCCAGTGAAGCTTAAGCAGCTTCCTGTTTGCCTGGTGCATTAAGTGGTTGCCTGCATGCATAATTTTGGAGACTTCTGTTCCAGAACATGTTGATATTCATTGGTGGAGATATTACAGTAATATTCTTTGTAGTTCTGTGTTAGCATTGGGTGCTTTGGTAGTTTGGTCACATGTTTTTAAAATCCTGTTTTTAACTGCAATTTATTTAAATATTTTTAAGGCAGCCTGCAAAGCAATTGAACAAGCAAAGAGTCAAAACATCAAGAAACTGATTATCTACACCGATAGCAAGTTCACTATTAATGGTAAGTTAATAATTTTAGTTTTCCTGATTTTTAAAGACACACTGCACATGAACATACTGAGGCCTGGGGAGAGGGATATAAAGAAGAGGATGCATAATTTCGGTACTCTTGATGGAGGAAACCCTTCAGAATATTGCAGGGATCAATTGTTAAACTCATTAAATACAAGGAGAGACAAAAAGTGCCTGTTATAGTAAAGAATGACAAAAGTAACTAAAGTATTTTGGTCTTAAGGCATTCAGTATGACAGAAAGTCTAGGAAAAAATGTTGTGTGTGCTCTGTCAAGGATGTACTCAGAAAGTAACCAGAAGTTGGTGTAGTGACCCTGTAGGGTTGGGTTCAATTTTGTTTTATTTAGCTCGGAGAGGCTGTCTTAATAGGCAAACATGGAGTACATTCAAGTTTCCTTACTTTTTACGTGTAGAATGCACTTCCAAACTTTCAGGCTAGACTAGAAGACTAGCCAGGGGTAATATATGTTCAGAGTGTGTATTTAAGGTTCTACTTTAGCCAAAGATTTGGAAAATACTCCGTTTCCTAGAAATACTACGTGAAGCAATCAGTAAGACTTAATTTCTGCATAGCTCTTCCCCTTTCCTCCATATCTTTGTATTTTAATCCTGTGGAAATTCCAAACTGCATATGTATTTCTTTGTATTTCTGATTTTTACAAAGGGAGTACATGTTAGCTGTTTCCAGATCACTTTTGAGGTTTTTATTTTTTAAATAACTTTAAAAAAAACCCCAAAAAACATTATTGGAAGTTTTAATTGAAGATTAAATGTTGCTCTTTGACAATTCCTGTTAAACTTACATATGAAGGAGAAAAAGAATCTTTAGGTGCAAGGTCTTCCTCTCTTCGTTTTTACTTGCAGTTTACTCTTGCATTTTGAGTCCATTCTTGTTTAATGGAAGTTATTTTGTAAATATGTCTAAGAGTGGGGTTTTTTTTAAATATAGGAGAAGGAGGCTTGCAATTAAGTACAAATGAATGTGGTTTCATTTGTTTCCTAGTAAGTTTTGTGTCCAGAGTTGGTTATTCTCTGGTTTAGGTCTGTTTATCATGAAAGCAGTAAGGATGTCTTACATTGTTGAGACCAGCAAAGATTTTAATAAATAAAATATTTATTTAACAAGGAATACAGTAAATATTCTAGTCAGCAAGGGATGGCCAGAATGTTAAGTCTTGTTCTGTAGAAATCTGTTCATACGGTACTTCTCAAAAGGATTCTCTTTGTTATGCAGAATCCATAAGACATATGGCCATCTGTTTTCCTCTATGTGTGTCTCCTCAATTTCTCAAAACAAGTAAAGCCATAGATTTGTTCCAGCTTACTCTACTGTCAGGCAAATCCTTAGCTTCAATTTATGGAAGTTCATGTCATAATTTTGAGTGTAATGTGCATATAAGATTGTAGTCTTTAAATATCTGTTAGAGGAAAACATGGTTGAGTAATTCCAGTAACAATGGAAAAATACAATCCTCAAGACAGTGGTAGAGAACCCAACAAGAATATATTCTATTCATTATTTTTGCCTGACACTTTGTACAAAGCCCTGTTAAAAGGCTGTTTGCTCTATCTTGATCCTTGCTGGCTTCTTTCATAGCATTTTTATGGTGATGTTCCCTTTGCATAGGTATTACAAGCTGGGTTGACAACTGGAAAACAAATGGCTGGAGAACAAGTTCAGGAGGAAGTGTAATAAATAAAGAAGATTTTGAAAGACTTGATAATCTATCAAAAGGCATAGAAATTCAGTGGGTGAGCACCTCATTTCTTAATGACATCTTAAACACGCTTCTTGTAAAAACTTGCAACTATGACCAAAACTTAAGAATTTTTAGAGCATAATATTATTTTACATCCATAAATAAAACTATAAATAGAAGCTGCTTGTTTTGTTAAAATCAAATGAGCAACATAACCTAGCCTCTTGGACCTTTTTAATTTATTAAAATGCATATTTATATTTGTTTGCTGTTTCTTTTTGCTACTTAAAAATGCCTGCAGTAATTATTTCTAGTTTGTTAGTACTGTCAGCAGATGAAATAACAGCTCCTGGAAATCATAAGCTTAAAACATAACTGTCTTTTTGAGTCACAGCTCAATTTCTGGATTTGCTTTTCTGAACTCTTAAGATACTGGTTCATTGGCATAACTCAGTGACATGTGTGTCTGTCTAAATTGGGTATAATCCCAAGTGAACTAACTGTAGTTTTCTGTGCTTTTTACAAGAAAACTGGGCTCAGAAAGGTCTTTAAAATACCCATTTTTAAGTTTTTTAATTGTTTAGCTCTCCAGTGAAGAAGTAAAACAACTTCTATAAGGTATTCTTGATAAAATGTATTTTTCTGTAACCTTGTAGCATCAGTGTCAATTGTTGTAGGGGATGTCTCCCTCCCTTCTAAATGTTACTTTATTTGTGGTGTAAGACTACTAATTCTAGAAAGAAACCTTTGTAACGTTGTGTGGCTGCTAATGGCATATTTATTTGGCTTCAGTCTTACTCTGGAGAAAATAGGACAGCATAGGTCTTTAAGGTGCACTTTTTACATGGGAAGTCCATTGCAGTTAGTATTCCATTCATGTTGTTCTGTATTTGAGAGTTGACAACTCTAATTTAAAGACTGACTAGATTTTACATTATTACTACTATTGTCTATTGGGAAGAAAGTGTGAAAACTTAAGACCAAAGTTCAGCTGTCCTTAATGTGTTTTATGTAATATAAACCAATAGATGTTGTTGCTTTGTGCACATTTATTACATTTGAATCTCTTAAACTTGGGAAGACGTTTTATTTCAGGAGGAGCAATACATGCAGCCACTTTATCACAGTAATCACCTGAAGAGGGATCAGGTCCTCCACGAGCTGCAGAGTGAATATCTCCTCCAGTGTGGTCCTCCATGGGTGCAAACCATCAAGGCTGTTAGTGGCATAGGGGTCTGTGGCTTTTTGGGCAAAGATTAACTTAGTTTAAGCACTGAATACAGAGAGGATTTTTCAGTGTCCTCAAAGTAGAAATTTTGAGCTGGAGCTGTTCTCTGCATTTCTTAAAGGCTAGGCTAGGTGGTCCTTATTCAGTTCACTACTTCTAAAGATTATTTTCACAGTTTGTCAAGACTTTCCTAGAGGAAGGGAAACTGTGAGCATTCCTGAAAAGAACATTCCAAGGACTAAATATGAGGAGAGTGCCTCTAAGGAGTTGCTGCTACACTATGGAAGAAAAGTGTGTTGTGTGATCAATTTTTTTTTTTCTTGATTTCTTGCATATCTAATACTCCTATCTCTTTCTCCTAACAGATGCATATTCCTGGTCATGCTGGCTTCCAGGGAAATGAAGAAGCTGATAGACTGGCAAGAGAAGGAGCTAGTAAATAGATGTCCTCACGTACTGGGACTAGAGACTGTTGCAGTGGGAGGAAAAGTAGTAACATAACATCACAGTGACAACTCAAACTGCTGTAATTGTTTTGGAGTTGAACTTTGAACTGTACTTCTTTCTGGCTTGAAGTGTTAAATATATACCAACTTCTGGGGAAAAAAAAAAACCAACGCATTTTCTTCTATAGCATTTGTTTTACAGTCGAGTCAGTATTTAGTTGACTGGTTTCTCTCCATCTGACTGAAGAGCCGCCATCACTGTTTTTAGCTGTCTTGTAGACTTCTGAATTCACTATAAAGACAGACTTCTGAAAAAGTAATACTAAATCTTCATCCTAAGCATTCTGTATTTTCCTCTTAGTGAAATAAATTAATATTTTTTTTTACAGAGGTATATATATATAAACAGCTCAAGATTGTTGGAGGTGGGGGGACTTAAAAGTTGGTTGGTTTGGTAAGAGATCAGTGACATAACATGAAGATGTCCATTCATGTGCTTTGGCGTTCTGGCAGTAGCAATATCCTCTCTACCAATGGGCTTGTAACACTCACCTGTGCCTCACAGTATCATCAGGTACAGCATCTGTAGATTGCTTTATGATGATATGTACCATTGCAAGGTAACGTGAACAAACTAAAAAGCCAAATCACAAGAAAAATTGGAACAGTGAATTTTTACTGTTCTCTCTCTAACTGCTTATTGTCTTTGTTTCTGGCTTCATGTTTCCATTAAGTGATTATTTTTATGCCTACTGGTTCTCATTAGCATTGTTAGTTCCTCTTCAGTGTTGTCCCAGAGGTAGTAAGTGGCCATTTTACCTGAAATGGAACTAGAAGATGATAACCTTCTCAATGTCTTCCGGATGTCAAGTGTTTAACTTTAGTTTTTTCCAGTCAATGATGAGATTAATGGAATGGCTAATGTGCACTTGAATTAGAGAGTAATTACCAGTAATCAACACAGTTTTATTTTCTGTGTATCTATACAGCAAGAACAAACAGGCTTGATATGTTACCTTTGTCAAGTTCTCTGTAAGGTACCTTCATATCACAGAATGGTAGGGCTTAAGCTAGAAGTTACGGAATCTTTATATTTTTTTTAAGTTGCTCTGCAGAATGGCAGAGCTGCTGAAGCTTGATTTCTTAATAGTTCTCATGCATTATAATATCTTTACTGAGACAAAGTGTGAGCTCTTAGGTATTTAGAGTCACATGAATTGTGATGGAATGAAGAAAGTGAGGCTTTAAAAATTTGTTTTCATCTTAAAGCTGCACAGTAAAGTTCATCTAGGGGTAAGGAGGTACAGTGATTATAGATTTTTGCCTTCTGTGTCTTTTGTGTATATGCATGCAATTATCCATCTATTTATTTATTTTAGAAGTTTGGCTTGAAGGAAAGCACCCCATCATCCCTAATCGGATTTTTAGTTGAGGCAGGAGAGTGTTAAAAATGATGTACTGAAGAGGTGGCATCTAATGATCTGCCTATCATACATCTCTAGTTAAACGTGTAGATTCTATTTACTGTGTGGAAATCTGTATTTACTTATTTATTAAGCAGCAGCTTTGGAAAAAAGTGTAGATAATGGTGGATAAATCCTAACATCAGTGCAATACTGAATTTAAGCAACTTTACTACCTGAATCTTAATACGTAGATTACAATAGAAAATCTAATAGGAAAGAGTTTTATGCTAATTTGATATAAATGTTTATATTTTTCCTCTGGAAATTCAGGCCAAAAGAAGGCTGAAAGTTACAAGATAAAGACTGATTAAAGGATGGAAAGCAAGTAATACTTGTCAATGGGGGCTCAGGGACCCATAGAGGCTGTTGGCCATTTGAGTCATTATTTTCAGGGAAATAAAATTGTAGGAGGGTATTGGAATTTAGCAGCTGTGAAATTGAGTGGACTGGCGTTCAACTTCTGGCTGGCTTTGTATGTGCCTCTGCAACTGGATGTGGACAATACCAGTATTACATTGGTTTACTTGTAATGTTATGGGACATGCAATTAAATTTTATCCAGAATTGATAATCAGTTGTGCTTACACATGAATACTGTACATTGAAGGGATCTGGTAACATTTCTAAGATTCTGAGAAATACTGGTTAAGACAAGATGTTTTGATAAGTATAGAACACTTTATAGGAAGAAAAACACTTCAGGAGGGAATTTCTTTTTCAGCTGCTTCTCTCTATCCTTACATCATGTTTAGCTGGCTGTTGGTTTATTTGCTATATAGAATTGTACAGCCATATAGAACTGCAGAACTGTGGAGGCTGGAGGGGCCTGCTAAAGGGTGCCTTGTCCGTCGCGGTGCAAGCAGCTCACCCAGAGTAGGTTGCTCAGCGTGCGAGTATAGGCTGTGAGTAGGGGTGGAGACAACATGAATTTTCTGGGCAGCATGTTGTACCCCTCTTATTTTTTCCACAATTTATTTATTTTTTTAAAATCCTACTTTGTTTTTTATTCCCCCATGTTGCAGGGTTGCAATGCAGGTCTTTGCGGCCGAGCCCAGCAATGCGGTCAGAGCGTTGTGCGGGGGCAGCCTGGCTGCGAGCGCAGCTGCTGCCGCACTTGGGTGCGACGCGTGGGAAGAGCAGCACGGAAGGCCGGGGGCTGGAGCGGGTGCGGAGGGAGCCCCTTTGGCCAGCAGATCTGTTTCACAGCAGATGTGCACTGACCCTCTGTGCCCTTGAGCCTAAACCCATACACCAAAATAACAGCTGTCTCCCCTACCCCTACACCCTGCTCGGCACTTCTGAGTTGCAAATGGCGCCCGTTTAAAGCTCTCACCATAGGCGGGCTCTGCGGGGCCGCTCCC